GCCTCCTCCCAATCTCCAAAACCCTGTTCCTCCAAACCTCAAAGTCCCGCCGATGCCCATTTCATTCCCTCCATGAAAGTCCAAACTTTTCACCAAAATCCCCTCATTTTCATCATTTCAGGCAATATAAAAGACCCCCTTCAAAGGTCTCGCCTTCTTCTGCTTGGTTCTCGGGCTTTGGATCGAACAAGAAGACGGCAGAGGTTCTCCCTGAGATAGTGAAGGCTGGGGACCCAGTTCTTCATGAGCCAGCGAGCGAGGTGCCCATTGAAGAGATTGGGTCGGAGAGGGTTCAGAAGATTGTTGATGATATGATTGGGGTAATGAGGAGAGGTCCTGGAGTTGGGCTTGCTGCTCCACAAATTGGCATTCCTTTGAGGGTAAATTTTCTTTTTGAGCTAATTGATGATTGTTTTACTGGCATTAATGACTGAAGACTGGAAAGGAGTAATTTTGATGGGTGATGTTCGTGTTTTGAGCTTTATAATAGCAAAATACGGTATATTTGCACGATAATGCAGCATATTTGTTTAGTTGAGCACGGTGGAATGAAGAAACTAGGAGAACCCAGTTGCTAAAATGTGGTTAATTTTTGTTTGTGGTGTCAGAAAATAGGAGGAGGAGAATCAGGATGGTGATTCTGAATGATTTTGATAGAATATGTTTATTGTAGTATCATTTGTTTGCCCTTGATTCTTGAGGCAGTAGACGAATAATCATACAAATGATTGAGAATAGTAAAATGTTAGGGGCAGGATAAGTAGATTAGTTTAATCTAGATCCTCAGATGTTTTACTTGCTTCAGTATGTAACTTGGTTGATGTTCCAGAGTAGCACTATTAGTCTATACATTCACTTAAGGAGAAATCAGTTAACATGTTGACTCATGGAAATACTTTTCTGGTTTTCAATATGCGTCTTTATTTATTTTCAGTTCCATGGGTTACCTACATGTGGGGCTATACCGCTATACGTACACATGAAATTCTCAGCAATGTCTCCCGTCGCTTGTGAATATGAGTCAATCATCCATGATAAACCATTGCCCCTCTACCCACTTGGTCTAAACATATAGAGGAAACATAGCAACTGCATGTAGGATCTTCCACCATACGTGGACTAACCAGGTCTTAATTAGTGAGGCACTATAGGTCATCTGTTGATTAACTTGGCTTTGATTTAAATCGGCACCATGGAACAAACATCATGGCAATTAATATCCATGGGATCTTCTGCTGTTTATGGGCTAACTGGAGCTTAGTCTTTCTCACTTGATCGAAATTGGTAATCATGGAACAAAACATGGCTACAACATCAGCTATTCTCCTGAAACTTTCTCGATTTGTATTGGATTTCACTGTTCCTAAGATCACAGTCTAGTCTATTAGTATTCTACCACTTTTTTAGGAGGTATCTGGTCCTTCTGGAAGTTATCAGGCCTTGAACAGATGTTTAACACCAAATTAAGCTAAAAGTTCAAGCTAGTAGGTATTGGCTAAAGTTTTTATTGATCCGCCACTTACCCCCTTCTAATTCCATCTTATTTGAGACTACACATGCACATGAATTTCCCAATGTTAGGAGAAAATCTACCACAGAAAAGAAAATTACCTCTCATTATATACGGTCAAGCTGAAGTCACTGTTTTCCTCCATTGAAAGTTTTCCCCCTTTTTAGGTCTAGTGTTTCATTTTCAGGATAAGGCTTCTCGATATGTTTAAGCTTACCATGTTTGTCCAGACCTCAACCATTATGTTAATTGTTAGTAAACAAGATTCATATTTGCCTTTACTATGCCATATTGCAGATTATTGTTCTGGAAGACACAAAAGAATACATTAGTTATGCTCCTAAAAAGGAAATTGAAGCACAAGATCGACGGTCTTTTGATCTTCTGGTAAGTTAAAGTGTTAAACGTCAAAGCAAGGAACTTTGGGTCCATGTTCTATTTGGTATTTCAGTGTTTAATGTTTCTTTTACATATCCATCATCTGTCAGTTTTTCTGAGTCAGGTCATAATTAATCCAAGGCTTCAGAAGAAAGGAAACAAAACTGCACTGTTCTTCGAAGGATGCTTGAGGTAAGCAACAGAAGAAATTTCACATAGATCCACCTTTTTCTGGTTTTACAAACAATGTGGTATGTAAAAATAGAAACTCTTTGCTTTGCTAGTGTGGATTATGACGACTGAGATTCTCTGATTTAAATTACTAGTATGCACCTCTTGCAAAGCACTGGCCCGCTATTTTTTTAAGCACTACATTTTGAACTTGCCTCCCTCTTAGTTTTAATACATTTAATTTAATTATTGTATGCTTAAAATTAGAAATCATATCTACTCCTCTATACTTGAAGAAGGATCCAAATGTTAATACATTTAATTTAGAAATCATATTTACTCCTCTATACTTAAAGAATGATCCAAGTTTTAATGCATTTGATTTGTTTTGCTGTTTACGATATAATAATTACTGTAGCATGAATAACTTCAAGTTTGAAGAATCAGCTTTGATTTACTGTTCACACTGCAGTAAAAGATCGCATCTGGCCAGTGTTCATGATACAATATTACTGTAGCATGGACAATAATTCTTGGATTCTCCAAGTATTGAGGAGTAGATGTCCGTTCTTGAATATGTATAATTTAATAGTGCAATCAAAGTCTAACAGAAATTATCTGTGCTAGTTTTACATTGATTTACTAGTACACTTTTATGATGGCATATACCTTTTAATTTTTTGAATATTTGTATTGCATAGAGCAGTGTGTTTTCATTTATTTCTTTAGTGTATTTCACGCTTATTGGAGATGAGACTTCTTTGTCTCGAAGAATTTGGGAAACTTGCTCTTCTTGCATGAACTTGTAAGTAGGTAGTAAATCTGATAATTTTCATATTAGCCATCTGAAATACTAGGTATTATGGTAAGACCTCTCCTTGCCTCTAGTTTACCTCTGTGGGCTTGCTGGATTCCTCTACACATTGCTTCTTGCTTGTGCTTGTTGTAGGTCAAAACCCACAGTTCTCTTTTCTTACATGATTATGTAGTCACATACATTTTTCAAGATGTATTCAATATTCATGATTAACCAATGACTCGTTTTTTCGTCCGTTCACGAATTTTTTGCAGTTCCATGGCCATGCAACAATATTATTTCTTTGAATCTCTCCCGCAATGTCTTCCAAAAAAAGAAGCAAAGAAAAGAGAGGAAACACAGCCACTACATGCTGAAACACTCACAAAAATAGTTGCTTTAGGGAAATGGCAGTAGAAAAATAGTAGGTAAAAGAAAAGAAAGATCCATCAGAATATCTTACTTCAATCTGATCCCAAGACAAGGGTTGATTCAAAATCATTACACCTTACAGATATATATTTTCTGTTTGTTAAATAATATTTAAATAGTAATTCTGATAGCCTGAGAGGTTAAGTTTTCAAGAAGTCACGGGACTAGTAGCACTGAGATACAGTCCACAGGAAATTACACAATATAGACTAATAAAATGTCCTGAGGACGAAAAAGAATTTGCATTGAAGAAATGCTTCCCTTAATTTTAGTTGTTTACCCCTTTGTATACGTTCTGAAGGTAGTCTTGCTGTTCTATAGCTTTACACACGATATCAGTCTCCTTTCATCTCAAATTTCTTGTATCTATGTTACATTTGTTAATCCTCCATATGAATGAGCCAATTCATCTTATTTGTTTCAATTTTATTTTAGTGTTGATGGATTTAGAGCAGTTGTCGAGAGGCACCTTGAGGTTGAAGTCACTGGTTTCAACCGTGATGGAACCCCTCTCCAAATATACGCTAGAGGCTGGCAGGCACGCATATTACAGCATGAGTATGATCATCTCGATGGCACAATCTATGTTGATAAATTTGTTCCGAGGACATTTAGGACCGTAGAAAATGTCGATTTACCACTTCCCGTTGGGTGTCCGCAGCTTGGCGTTCGCTCATTAGAACAAGCTTGAGATTGGTTCTGATTCGGAAGGAAGAGCTTTTGATTATTCTTTGAACACTGATTTGTGGAACTTCATTCTTAATGGCCTGCCAATC